GATAAATAGATAGATAGATAGACAGGTTAAATAGAAACTGGATAGTTAGAGAGATAGATGGATAGATAGATAGATAGATAGAGACAGAGAGATAGAGAGAGAGAGATAGATAGATAGAAAGAGAGAAAGATAGATAGAGAAACAGATAGATAGATACATAGATAGAGAGGTAGATACATGAGAGAAGTTGGAGAGAGAGAGAGAGAGAGATGGATAGATAGATAAATAGATAGATATTTAGAGAGATAGATGGATAGAAAGAAAGAAAGAGAGATAGATGGATCGAAAGATGGATAGAAAGATAGATAGAGAAAGAAAGAGATAGATAAATAGTTAGATAGATAGATAAATAGATATGTAGAGAGATAGATAGATACACGAGAGATAGATAAAAAGAAAGAAAGAAAGAAAGAAAGAAAGAAAGAAAGAAAGCAAGCAAGCAAGAAAGAAAGAAGATAGACAGATAGATAGATAAACAGATAGACATAGAGAGATAGATAGATAGATGACAAGAGAAATAGATAGCTAGATAGATAGATACATAGATTGACTGATAGATAAATAGGCAGAGAGATAGATAGGTAGATAGATAGATAAAGAAAAAGAAAGAGATAGACAGATAGATCGATAGATAGATGGGTAGATAGATAGATAAAGATGTATATAGGTAGATAAATAGATAGACAGATAGACACATCAAAGAGAGAGATAGATAGATAGATGGATGGATAGATGGATAGATGGATAGATAGATAGATAGATGGGTAGATAGATAGGTAGATAAAGAGGTAAAAAGGTAGATAAGTAGATAGACGCATCAAAGAAAGAGATAGATAAAGATAAAGAAAAATATAGATGGATAGACAGATAGATAGATAGATCGATAGATGGATAGATAGATAGAGAGATAGATAGACAGATAGATAGACAGATAGATAGATACATAGATAGATAGAGACACAGAAAGAACTATAGATAGATAGATAGAAAGAGAATGATCAAAGGAAGTTTAGAAAGCCAGCTCTCTGAGACAAGATGCAAGAGAAGGAATAGGCCCGCGAGAAAAACTGCGCGCACGTGTGGCAGGGGAAGAGAAAGTCGTAAAAAGCGTGGCCCTGTGCGTGAATCGGCGTTTTCGAAGATAAGAAAGTCGCAACAAGCGTGGCCCTGTGCGTGAATTGGCGTCTCTGGAGTTGCGAAAGCTAGCCTGTCCGCGGCGTCTGGTCGGAGAATGCTCGGAGCATGCTCGGATCACGTTCGGCGCCGGGCCCATTGGCACGGCAACACAGAGGTTACTTTTAAGTACGAAAGTAGTACGTGAAATCCACCTTCGAAAATCGCAACTTTTAAGTACGAAAGTAGTACGCGAAGTCACCTTTCGGGGATTGAAAATCGCAACTTTTAAGTGGAGATATAAATGGGTAGATAGATAGATAGATCGATAGACAGATAAAGAGATGGCTAGAGAGATAGAAAGAGAGAGAGAGAGAGAGATAGATACATAGATAGAGAAAGAAATAGATAGATAGAAAGATAGATACATAGATAGATAGAGAGAGAGAGCGAGATAGATAGATAGATAGACAGAGAGAGAGAGATAAAGAGATAGAGAGATAGATAGATAAATAGATAGATAGAGAGAGAAAGAGATAAAAAGAGAGAGATAGATAGATAAATGAATAGAGATAGAAAGAAAGATAGAGAGATAGGTAAACAGAAAAAAAGAGACAGATAGATAGATAGATAAATAGATATATAGATGGATAAACAGATAGATGGATAGAACAAATGATAGATAGGCTAGATAGATAAATACATATATAGATAGATAGACGCGGGAGATAGATAAAGAGATAGATAGATAAAAACAAATCGATGCGTAGAAAGAGAGATAGATAGAAAAACAAATAGAAAGGCAGATAAAGAGATAGATAAAGAAAAGGAATAGATAGAGAGATAAATAAATAAGTAAATAAACAGACAAATAGAGAGAAAGTCAGATAGATAGATAGATAGATAGGTAAGATAGAGAGACAAATAGATAGGTAGATAGATTGATAGATAGATAGATAAACAGATATAGAAAGAGATAGAGAAAGAGATAGAGAGATAGATAGATAGAAAGAAAGAGAAATAGATAGATAGATAGACAGAAAAAGAGATAGAGAGATAGATAAAGAGATAAATAGATAGATAGATACACAAACAGAAGATGGATAGACAGATAGATAGATAAAAAGATAGAAAGAAAGATAGATAAATAAATTGATAGGTAGATGGATAGATAAATAGATAGATAGATGGATAGATAAATACATAGATAGATAGATAAATAGATAGAAAGGTTGATACATAGATAGATAGATAGATAGATAGATAAGCAGATAGATAGACAGATAGAGAGAGATAGAGGGATAGTTAGAGAAATGGATAGATGAGAGATAGGTAGGTATATAGATAGAGAGATAGATAAATAGATAGATAGATAGAGAAGATAGATAGAGTGACTGTTCAGAAACTGCATCGGCTTGGATCAGCTTCTCATGGATGGCGTCCTTCTCATGCTGCTCATATGCGTCATGGAATGCCATCATCGCTTGCCCAGCGCTGGATGAGTACTAGCCTTGTTCACTCCCATTCCAGGATGGATCCCAATCCTGATCTGTCCAACCGGCATAGGTAGGCTCTGTGGATGCGCAGTCGGCTGAATGGCGGGCTGCTCCTCGTCTTCTCTGCGATGGCTGCGAACGTCTTGGATTTTCCTTTTTCTTGTCCGCTCTTTTCCTTTGCCATTGTCATAGGATGGATAACCTTTGTTTCCATCATAGGGATATTGGAATTTCGATTTTCCATTTCTTTCCCTTCTTTCCCTTGCCTTTTCCCCAATATGCCTGGTCGTAGGGATCCTGATTTTCGTTGGCCATATTGGCCTTCCCGCCAGAGCTACCTTTTCGAAAGGGTTTGAAGCCACCTCGGTGGTGACTGCCCTTTTTGCTTGTTGATTTTCCTTTTCCTTTTCTTTTCTTGAATCTGAAATTCCGCCCAGACACCTTTCTTGCAATGAACGCATCGTTCTCCTCCAATACCCAAAAAGTCTCCTCATCGTTGGTTGACATAAAACCTTCCAGTCCTTCTTCATCTTCCACCCAGAAGCCTTCTTCACCTTCGTACTCTCCTTGTTCAAGACTGTAGAAGGTGTTGCTTCGGTTTCCGCCGGACGGTCGGATGGATGGATCTTGGATGGATGTTCTGGTCGTGATGAAGAGGTCGTGATACTGCGTTTTCATCATCTCGTAGGTGTAAGTCTCAAGCGAGATGTTTCTCAACGACATTGCACTGATCAGTCTTTCTCTCTGCTGATCTGACAACTCACACTTTGGATTATGAAAAACAACGAGGTTGTCGCTGAGGGGAAATGCGTCCCTGTGCCTTGTCTGCGTGCCTGTAAGGTACTGCCTGAGGACTTCTGGTGCTGGCGCGTGGCAATTCTTCTTGCATTAGCCTCTTGGACTGAAGCTATGAACTCTGGGGACTGTGCCGTATAAGCTGGCATCAAGTCCATCCAGGCTGCCTTCAATCTCATCAAGCTCTCTTGGATGCATCAATGGTTGCGAAGGTCACCCAATCATCTACAAGTTCTTCATATCTAAACCAGCTGACTCTTCCGTCGTACGATGGCGGCTGCTTGGCGGTCATCGATAAGTCGAGCGTCTCTTCAGTGTAGCCGGATGAACGGCCAACACTTGAAAAGGCTTCCACGAAGCCTTCTCCATCGGATGACATTGTGTTTGGATCTCTGCGGAAAACCCGCTCCGCTACCACAATTGAGACCCACTGCTGGGGGTACCGTATCCCCGAAGGGAGCAGGTGCCTTGTAATAGTAGAGCATGTGTTGTTAGGCCCTATCTATTGTGCAAGAGCGTCCAATATGCCAATAGTGGAGGAATTGAGAATGGATGTCCCTGGTCCTGATAATGTGTGTGATATATCCCTGCAAGGCACTCTGCTAGGTCCTTTTGTAATGGCTGCAGGATGAATGCAACTATTGTACAAGAGGGGCCTTGAGCCAAAATAAAGTGGTGATTGCAGGGTCAACTTGCGAAGCAAAAGCAACACAAACACACACACACAGACACAGACACAGACACAGACACAGACACAGACACAGACACAGAGACACACAGAGACACAGAGACACAGAGACACAGAGACACAGAGACACAGAGACACAGACACACAGACACACAGACACACAGACACACAGACACACAGACACACAGACACACAGACACACAGACACACAGACACACAGACACACAGACACACAGACACACAGACACACAGACACACAGACACACAGACACACAGACACACAGACACACAGACACACAGACACACAGACACACAGACACACAGACACACACACACACACACCCACACACACACAATGTGCGCAAATCCACGCCGCACTGCCAAATCAAACAAACAACACCTCGATCCCAACATCAGGTAACCACCTTGTTCAACAAGCAAGTCACGTACTGCAGCTTCCATGAACGCCTACCCTCCACGGAAATGTCTGACTTTCAATCTGTTGTGAGCTTGGCTGGGATAGGACCCCTCCTCTCTCGACAGTTTGCCCTGGTTCCTGTGTGCAGCCAGGCACAAGGAACCGTCTGGGGAACAACGCTTGGGGGCAGTGGCAGAGTAGCAGGGTAGTGTGCCAGCATTCCAGGGATTAGCGAGAAGTCCGGAGATAACTATGCCCTTACTTTCGCAGTCTTTTGAATACGTCTGCCGCCGGTGCAACCAACGGCTGACTGCTGTGTTGTGATGCAATCCGTACGCTTGCCATCGATGCTGGCCACGAAAGGCAGCAAGGAAATGGGAAAGCAACAAGCATTCTTCAGCATGCATGACACCTTGCCACGCCAAACACTTCACGGTGCACGGAGGAAAACATCATCTCTCATGGTGCTTTGGTAAACTAAGGCACCCACCTCCACTGCACTTTGGAAGACTCTGGAGCCAGCAGTGATGTACTTGGTCCTGGCAAAGACAGCGATATAAAGCCGGGATATGGAAGCGCAGTGCAACTTGAGCCAGCAACACCGTCCACATTTCCGCTGCAAGCGGGACAAGTGATAGGCGGCCTCCACCGCCCCTTCCTCAGCTGCTGGATTTGGGACTGTGAGCCGAAGATTTGCATCTTCCCGGCCTTGGCACATGCATGCGCCACATATCTGAGGGTTTGGTAGCCGCATGGCCTCAGCATATGGGGCACATGGTCAGTGAAGCTTGGAAAATCACCCAGATTGGCAAGAGCGGGATTCTTCTGAAGGTTACTCGAAATCCAACCCCTTCAGCATAGTGCGTTTGCCCGTCAGGGCCGGCAGCAAGCCTCAAACGTCCAGGCACGAGTCTGTCGGTCTGTCGTGCATTGAAACTCAGTTCAGCGCACACCGCGAGACGGATGCATAAGTCGCTGGCTTCGCAGCTTCTTGCGTCTTATTCAGACGCGTGAGCGACACTGCAGCCCATCCTCGACCATCGCCCTCAGGAAAAGTGCAACTCGGCACTGAATGCACTTGATGCTTCAAAACAGCTGTCCTCAGGATGCTCTATCCCAAATCGTATGATGCGCATCGGGTCCTGCAAACGGCGGACTCTGGGTCAGTGATGCATGTCTCCTTGCTCCGCATATCATTCGCAGGTAACCTGCGACTCACTACAATTTAGAAATGTGGAACTTTTCGTGACAGCACTTGCGTAGCTGCTGAAGCAAGACTGGGCTTTTGCCAAGGAACATTGCCCTGGCTGTAAGCTTTCTCCAAACCTGCGACGCTGTAATGCCTTCTAACACATACAGAGCCTTTCACTTCCTGCTACGCAGAAATTGTCAGTTCTGCAAGCTGCTGCCAAGTGTGTGCGTGTGAGACCTCTGGCTCCACCATTGTGGAAGTGCAATCTCGTGCACGCTCAGGAGACAGCTCCTAGAGCTGGTGAAACGCTTGGCATGCCAAGCTTGGCTTTGCACCTCAACGATTGCTTACATCATGGAATTCATGACAAAGGGCGCAACCGCGGTTTTGATGTTTTGCTCACAAGAAGCCCTCTGGCAGAAAGCTGCCTCGCAGAAGATATGATGTGCAAATAGCCCAAGGCATAGTTTTTGTTTGAAAGCACCGCTTCTCTGCTGCAGAGTCTGACTTGAGGCCTGCACTCTGGGCTCATCGTTGCTTGGAGCCCGCTCTGGACACACTCCTGGCTCAACAAGGCTCGACTCTATTAAATAGCTTCTGTCACGCTTAATTCTGACGCCTTTTGATTTTTTTGTGTGGGGTTCGTGCCTGTCACTGCCCAAGGAAGATTGGCTGTCGCTGCGTTTGCCGCGGCTGCTGCTGCGGGAGCCCTGGCAAGGCTGAAAGCAACCCCATGACAACACACGGGAGGTATATACTGGATACATATTGAAGTTTAATAAGTTCTGTGCAAGGCAAATCAAATTCAGTTAGTTTGCCGTTCTTTTTGACGGAATATGAAAAGGCGGGGAGTGATGCAAAGCTATGCACCTTGACAAACACGATCCCGCTTGTGATTCAGCCACTGTCTTCTGGTTTCTTGGAGACGGGTGAATGCGTCCCCAAAGAAAGGCGCAGCCAGTGTTGCCTTCCGGCCAGACTTCTTCTGCCTCCAGCGCCAGCAACCAAACGGAGAAGTTACTTCTCATGGAGGAATGCATGAGGTGCAGTAGTGCTTGTGAATCAGTTCCAAGGCTGCTCCACAGATATAACATGTTGCTCATTCCCAACTGCCAACAACTGTGGCAATGCAAATCGCTTCGGGGTGTTGGGAATAAAACTGTGCTAAATTTGTCGGGCACACCGTGCTTCTACACACACACACTGTGGTTTGCTGCGTGGCTCAGTATTGCATTTGAGCGAAACTATTTTCGGACACTGGATCCCCAGCTGCGCAGGTTGCTTCCTGCGCACACACCAGTGCGAAAGAAAAACACTGTATGAGATTCGGATAGTACACAATAATAGTACACATTTTCGCATGTCCAAAGAGCTGTTCTGAGGCTTCTGCTGCCAAACCAGCTCCGTGTCATACGCATGACCCATTTGCAAGAAAGCATTCAACGGTCTGGGTCAACCAACACAAAGTGCTCAGTTCATTGTTCCTTGCCAACAATTGAATTGGGCCCAATGCCATGAGGCGCCCGGCATGAAACTGGAGTATGCTCTGATTTGATGCTGACAAACATTGACGCATTTTGGAAGTGGGTGAAGTATTGTCCATCTGAAATGGGAGAAGCTGGAGCAGCTAAACCACTTAAGATGTCATGTCTTCGGCCCGCTTAGACTTTGCATTCTGCCAGACTGCGACAAATACCAAGGTATGTACCTGTTCTGAGGACCTGAGATTAGCGGATTAGCAGCATGCCTTTGGTGGAACATTTTTCTACCGCAGAATGGTTCCTTCCAGGCCCGCCGGAAAAAGCTGAGCTGGAATAGCACCAAAAACATTGTCAACAGTTTTGCCAACTGGATGAAGAATGTACGCTCCTAACACTCACGAGCCCTAAGGCTGTAACTTTGCTCGTGTAGACTTCTCGCTGGCCTTGGAGCAAAGTCTTGCTAATTTAAAACGATCGCTTAGCTGGATCTGACTCTTGAAAACCCAGCGCTTTTTTATTGAATCCGGTAAGCGCTGGCCAGATCACCTGAGGCTCAAGCTGACGAGGCCACTGAAGCTGGCCGATCCTCGGAAACAGAAAAGGTGAACCTCAAGCTCGGGCAACTGGCCACGCCTCCCCGGCCACGTGCAGTGGGAACTGCGCCTCGAGCATTGACGTGGACAACCAGCCAGGGCACGTGATTGGTGCCTCGTAGCTGGACAGGTTGATGAGATCCTCAGAGTCTGGGCCCCACTCCTGGCCACGGCTGTCACTTTCGGAGTTATATCAATGAGTAGCGACAGGTCAAATAGCGATGTCACAGGATTCCGCCCGTGACATGACATCGGGTCAATTCCGCCTTGGCAAGAATGCCATCGTAGATACGCGACCTCTGCCAGGCGCTATGCAAGGCAACACGGGTAGCGCAGTCACGTCCATTGCAACCTTGTAACAGGCCTTGTAACACGCCTTGTAACACGCCTTGTAATGCCTGGCAACATTTTTCGTTGCTGGCTGTTGCTCCGGGCGCGAGTCCCGCCCAAATTCAATACACGGAGGAAAACTAGTCTCTAGAGACAGCGATGCAAGTCGCAACATACAGATTTTGTTCAATGATCTCTGCATCATTATCATCATCAACACCATCACCACCATCACCATCACCATCACCATCACCATCATCATAATCATCATCATCATCCTCATCGTCATCATCATCATCATCATCATCATCATCATCATCATCATCATCATCATCATCATCATCATACTCATCATCATCATACTGTTGAAACTGGTATGAGTTGATTTGCCTTCTCTCGTAGCGCCATTGCGCTTCGTGTAGGTCTGCAAACCTTCAAATGGTTTCAAACCCTAAAACAAGCTCTTTTCAAGCAAGAGGCGCTGATCAGGACTAATCTTGTTTTACCCGCAGGTGAGCTGTAGAAATGACAAGCATGCTATCAACAAGCACCAAACATCTTAGCGCAGTATCCCCAGCATGGTCAGCAATATTATGTCATGGTTCAATTGAAACACACCAAGATTCTGTGAGTTCTGACAACGCCTCTAGCGTTATCCACCACCATTGAGCTTCTGGTGATACATTCTTTGTGGATTGATGTTCAACAAATTACATTTGAGATGGACAGTATTCTGGCAAGCATGCATGGAACCCCATACACTACGCTTTTATTTCCTTGGAGTAAATGATCCAGACCTCGGTACTTGATGAGCAAGCCGGGGTTTGCCGAATGGAATCTCGGACAAGGTTTCCGCAAGCTTCACAACATCTACACACAGTGTGACATAACAGGGCTCAAGTTGCTCTCTTGTCAATGTGAGGTATTGCTAGTTGCAAAAAGTTGAAAATGACCTTGTGGTCACATGATGTCTGCTTCACCATTTGACTCAATTCACTGGACCTGCTGGGATCCGGGCTTGCGCAGCTCGAAGAGGATAGGAACCCACGTCTTGATGTGCTCCACCTCGATGGCACAGCCAGAAACAAGAAATGAGGTTGTTGACTGATATGGTTCTTTTTGTTTTCAAAGACCAAATGGAGGAAACCTGCCTGGGCTAAGCATGCACTCATCAAAATAACAGGTGCATTGCTCTAATAATCTTCCAAATTCCAAGAGACGCGCTTTGCGTTGCCTCATGCTGCAAATGTGCGGTAGCTGCAAAATTGTCAGCAGCTCATCAAAGTCTCAGTCAAGAAAAACATATTGTACCGAGCTTGTCGGGCCAATGTGGCCCGTAGGCCCGCTGGGCCCGTCAAGCCCGTGAAGCTCGTCGGGCCCGTCAAGGCCGACAAAAGAGGAGGCTATTTGATGCAGTCACCCATGGGAAATCCACGCCAGGCACGGGGCAAGATCTGCCCAACTAGCCTAGTAGAAAGTTTTCTCGAGCTCACGCCCACGAACGCTCCCATCCCGGAAGCCAATGCCCTCTAAATCCCACCAGCACGGCCGCCTGCCACAACTCAGAGTTCACGTCCCACCAGCAACTCCGTTGAAAGCTCCCGCGCCCATCTCGCCAGAGATGCTCTTGGGGAAAAAGAGGCGCTTGAAGAGACGCTTCACTCGGGAGCTCTGGTTATGCCAGCGACACCGGCAAACAGCTTCAAGCCTGAAAGAAGCCAATGCTGTTGCGTGCGTTGTCTGCTCCATTTACCCTGGTGGCCTACTCACCTTTCTATCTAGCCATCTGCTTGCCTATTCGTCCACGCAGGTCTTTGTGCATCTATTCATCTACCTGTCTAAACTTCTAAACGTTTCTTTGTCCATTCGTCTGTCCATCAACGCATCTGTGCGTTTCCCAACGTGTTTGTTTGATCCAATCTGCTCTGACCTAATCCAATCTAATCCAATCTAATCCATTTGCCTACCTGTCTATCTATTTATCTGTTCTAATGTAATCTAATCTATCAGTTTCTCTATTCCCTCTGTCTCTATCTTGTTCTCATTCTATCTACATATCTCTCCTCTCTATCTATCCATCTACCTGTCCATCTACCTCCATCTATGTCAGATTCATCTACCTGTCTCTGTCCGTTAACCTATTTCTCTATCTATCATCTATCCAAGGTGCTGTAATCCCATCCATCTATCTGCCTAACTGTCTGTCTATCTATCTTCCTAATTATCTAAAATTCTATCAACATCTCTGTCACTCGTCTATCGATCCATCTGTCTATCGTTCTATCTATCTGTCTATTTATCTAACGACCTATCTTTCCGTTACAGCCCGTCCAGTGCGTGGAGCCCGTCATGCCCGTCGAGCCCGTTTTCCCGTTAGGTTGAGCCCGTCGCACACGCGAGGCCCGAAGGGCCAGTCAAACCCGTCAAGCCCCTGAAGCCGTCGGCCCATCAGGCCCGTCAGGCGCCGGGCCCGTTGGGCCCGTCGGGCCCGTGAACGGTGAGCGGCCGCTTCTCAGCTTGTCAGCAAATTGATTTGTCTTTCGCTC